CTTCTTTTTTAACTACATATTCTTTATCAATCTATTATTTCAAAATACATTTTTTAAAAATAATGTGCCTCCGGTGTAATTTCCAAGTAATATAATTGAAAGGCCTGCCTGTGTGTCAAAGTTCCAAGCTGGCGCAGTTTGGCCCATAGACGCTCACAAACAGAATTTATTCCAATAATCACATAATTGAAATTTAATTACAATTGTTTATGAAAATAAATAAGTTGTAATTTTATTTATTAAAATTATAGTTGATAAGAGTTGCGCCACCGGAAACTGAAACCAGTAACCCCTCCATCGTCCATGGCGGTGCGATCAGGCGGATGTAAGCTATCTCAAGCCGTCTACAAAGACAAGGAGATTATGTCCACCACATCCTCCTTTTCCCGTTCCAACTCCGGTCCCCTCTCAATACAAGAAGACTACACCGCACCATCGTCTACTAGACCGAATCGCAAAAAGAAGAAGAAAAAGATCACAAATGAGGAAATCCCGGAGTCTTCCTCAATTGCTGAAAATTCTGTAATCAACGGAGACATGAATTGCAGTATTAATGACGCCAGCGACAAATGTACGAGGAGAATAAGCAATTATACTTTGGTGCAGACGGAGAGCAGTGTTGTGAGGCTACCAGAGGAAGTTGAAAAAGATTGTACAGTGTGTACGGTTAGTGGGACTTCGTCAGATTTTGGGGAGCTGAGGCAAAGGAATGTGAGTAGTGTGATTAATGGTGGGGGTGATGGGATCGAGAAGAGCTTTGACGATAGAAAAAACAATAATGATGATGATGTGAAGGTTGGAGTGGAAGCTAATGAAGGTGCTCATAAGGATTGTAATTCGAGTCAGACCACAAAAATGAATGGAAAGGAATTGGAGAAGGTAGAGTCATGGGATTGGAAGAAATTGACGGATGAAGATCCCATTCGTAAGTCAATTTATACTTAGTTTATTGTTTTTGTTTAATGTGTATATGTTTAATTTTTGTCATTGTATAAAAATTGATTTGTTTGTCTATAATGGATTCAACGAAAATGGTCGTGCTTTTGTTGGCTAATGAATGAGCAACATTATAGTATTATGTTTGAAGTTATGTACTCAAGTATGTTGTAATAATATAAATTAGTAAATTCAATTTGTTGCAGCAAAGGCGTACAAAAAGTTACCTTTAACCACTCAACTCAGTGAAAACCTACACGTAAAAGAGAAATGAGAAGGAAAACTGATACAAACAATACCCTTTACAGACGACTTTGTGAAATTCCTGTAGTAGTGCTAAAGTAGCTCTAGGATTAGTACTTCTGAATAACTTTGGAGCTTCTCCCATGGGGAATGCTAATTTTGTTGTTTTAAGAAGCAACCATATTTTATCGTCTCTCGTGGAGCTGATACATAGTTCATCAGCTAGTGATGCATACACGCCATAATCTTTTGTTCACTTTGTAATTGTATGCAGTACATAATGCAAAGCACTAATGCAGCAAATATCTCATTTCCTGATTTCCTTTAAATGGTTACTTTGCTGTATTTTTGCTTTACTTTTTTATAACTTGTGTTGCTAAAAGTTGGATTTTTTAGAATTTAGTAGACCTTAAATGTTTCTTTTTTCTATTAACATGACATTGAATTGTTCCAGGTCCTTCCTTTTTTTTTTTGTTTTACTTTTGCTGGTGCTGAAACTCTCATCCATTCTTCTTTTGGATAATTGGATTCCCTTCTGGTTGCTGCATTTTGTACCACAATGACTTCAAAAGGAAATTATTAGTAATTTTTTCATTATATGTAATTACTGGAGTGTAATATAGCTATGTATTCAGTTTCCTATCCCGAACAGAAACATTTTTAAGTTGAAACTCAATCCTTTATGCCGTAAAAATTGAGATCATGTAGGTTCTGATGGCAATATTAAGTTGCAAATGAGATGCGTAAGGCATTTGTCCCATGTATACTGATTTCTTAATTTGTAACTTTTTGTTTGTGTTCTGTCGTCATTGGGAAATAAAAGTCATTTGATACCTCACAATGATATAATGGCTAGTTCTCCAAATGTTACTGCACTTAATGGAACATTAGATTTACGAGAATGTTGTTTTTCACCCTGCAATCTCAGTCGCAGTGCTATAATTTTCTGTCAAACACGTATCTTGTAGAGAAGTCCCCAATGAAATATTTCATGGAAGAAATTCATGCTGGAAATTCCTTAAAGAGCACCACCACCCTTGGCAATGATAAAGAACGAGAACGAGTTTATGATACAATATTTCGCTTGCCATGGCGATGTGAACTGGTAAAGTTGCTATCTTTTCTTAATCTACTCCAGTAAAAAAAAACTGTATACATGCTTAGGTAGCTTAGGAAGCTTCAGACAAAAATGCATTTTTTCTACGTTGGTCTTTATCTCCTCCTCATCGCCACGTATTGAACTGTAGCTCTTTTGAGAGTAGAGCACTGCCATTATAATGCCTATTACTGTGTTGATTTAGGAATGACTTCTTTTGTTGTATTTATTGTTGAGAAAAAATTGATATTTTTTGCAGCTTATAGTTGTTGGATTCTTTGTCTGCCTGGATTCATTTCTATCTTTGTTGACTATCATGCCAACAAGGATCATCATAACCTTATGGAGGCTTCTTAGATCAAGGTCAGTTCTATCTCCTTCTATCCTTGATTAGAGTTTAGTGGGTCATTGTGGACCCCTCATTCCCTTCTAGGCAAGACATGTGTTTGTGCTTTAGGTATCAAAAACTTTACAAAATTAACTTATTTGAAAATTTCACAGGTTTAGATTACTCCGAACTGTCCATGACTACATTTATAGGTTAATCTGAAAGAAGCTATTTTATTTGCTGTGGAAAAAAAGTTTCCATGGACTTCCTAGCTAATTAACACTTCCTCTTTCCCTCTGAGACAGAAAATGAATGACAATGACTTTCCTTGGTCTCTTTATTCAATCATTGTTATCCTTAGTTTTATTTGTTTCATTCAGATATTTATTTATATAATTCAATTTTTTTTATTTTTTTCCTCTTTATTTGGGGTGATTTTGAGTTGCAATGACAAAAATAGTTAAACAATAATTACATTCAATGCTTGAAATAAAATATTGGGATGCAACCTTCATATGTATATTTAAGTATGCTGTCCCAGTTATACTCTGAGAAAATCTCGTCATGTCCGAAGTACTTATATGTTGTGCAGTTCAATTCTTATGGAATGATCTAAGTCAAAAAGCATCATAAATTGAGAAAGACGGCTAAACATACTGAGTAGACCTACATTTCTTCTGTTATGGACATTATGCTTTACACTAACCCTGAAACCCATGTGGACTGAACTATTTTTCCTCTTTCTTTTTTTTTTTAATTTTTTTTTTTAATTTTTTGAATAATCTGAAGTCCACATATGGAGATTGTTTACACCGTTCACAATTAATTAACATTCTGGCACTGATGTAAGACTTACCCATTTAAGAAGATTCATTTGGTTCGGCTTATTCTTTTTTCCCTAATTGTCCCTGGTTGTGCAGTTTCTTATTTTTTGTAAAGTAAATTAACCATGTTCATGGCAGGCAGTTCAAGATGCCTTCATCAGCGGAGCTATCAGATTTTGGCTGTTTTGCTGTCCTGGTCAGTGGAGTCACTATATTACAAGAAGCTGGTATATTAAGGAGATTTGGCTTATTCTTTTAAACTACTACCATTTTTGTTACTTGATTTAATTTTGCTAAACCCCTTTACAATTTTTTGGTTCAGATATCAGCTTAATATATCACATGATTCGGGGTCAAGGGACGTTCAAATTGTATGTGGTGTACAATGTGTTGGAGGTAGAATAGTTTTTTGTACTTTGGGCAATCTTTTAATAGTTTCTTGAGTTATTTTCTTTGTTATATTAATGATTTAATACCAATATTAAGCAACTGAACTCTCTTGTACCGAAGCTCATGATTAAGAATATACAGTGTTCATTGTGGAAAAGGCAAGAAATATCTGAACTCATTTTAAGATATGCTTGTTGACGATATATTTATTGCAGTGATATTGATCTATTTCACTGGAGTGTCCAAAGTAATTATATGTTCATCATTGACACCAAGGCTTTGTTTACTTATTTTGTCTATTCTTTCTTCATGCCTTCAGTCCCATTTGGACCAGAGTACCTTACTCTTAAACACTCCCAACCCTGAGATATACTAAAACTCCCTTCTGTCCTTTATTATTATTTGTTTTGATGAACACTTTTTTATTTTCCTTTTCTTTACATTTCTTTTGGCATATAAAGAAAAGATTTGTTCAAATTAAGTAATAATAGCTCCTGATTTTATGTTATTTTTCCTCATCCATTCCCTTGATCACTTGGTAATAAGAATCTTGTACATAGGTTAATCTTGTTTACGCTATGCTTCTTAGAATATAAAGCTATTACTCTTATAAACGCTTTTGAGAATCAACTTTTGTTGAAACATTTAGGAGATAAAATAAAGTTGAACACTGCTCTATGACTGCTACAAAAATTTGACAACTTTGACCAATAGTAACATTGAAAAAAATCTCACTCAAAATAGTGTGTTGCATTTACTTCAGAGATTCAAGAGTTAAAATGTCCATGCCCTTGTCGTCATTCACTTGAAAGTTCAAAAGCATCTCCGCATAGTTTCTTCGGTTGACTCTTTAACAGCTACGGCTATTAATGCTTTTACATCATGTGTTCAAATATGTGGATGCTGCTCGAATAATTAAGCTGACAGATTCATAATTGATTTTTGCCCTTTGGACAACAGATATTTGATAAGTTATGTCAGAGTTTTGGTGGTGATGTAATGCAAGCTCTATTCCATTCAGCGGATGGACTTGCAAATTCTTCACCAGAAAACATGCAATTCTGGCTGTGGAGATTCATTTCTGATGAAGCGTTAGCAGTGGCTTCTTCAAATATCCTTATCATGTTGTCTCTATCTAAATAATTAGCTACCCTTTAATCACTGTAGTTCCTTAACTATTCATACTTATTCATTCATTCGTCTTGTTAGCTCAGGCTATTACTTTGTCAACATGTATTGTTGCTCATAACAACGCATTGTTCGCTATGCTTGTGTCGAGTAATTTTGCTGAGATAAAAAGCAATGTGTTTAAACGCTATAGCAAGGATAATGTCCACAGTTTGGTATATTTTGGTAAGTTATTTTCTTTCTTAAATATTCTTTTTAGTCCATTCCATGCGTTGCCATCATTTGTAATCCCTTACGTTTAGGTACATTTTGAGTGTTTTTGGTGGATGCCAAGAGTTCGGCAGTTCACTTTCTTTTTTGTTTAGTAACTGATTTCATATGTGCTATTTTTCATTTGTATATCATCTAGATATGGCAATTAAATTCAGATATTAAACAAGAATTAATATAATCACTTGTGGCTGAAAAAAAAAAGTGATTTTATCATGGTGGAATAAGCTGTGAATTATAATGACACCGTGAACAAAACTAACTCCTATTTTATTGGGAATAATTCTTAGTTTGTTATCGTTGATGTATATTTTTTAAAAAATCAGCTCACTGTGTTTAAACCCAGATTACATCCTAGTATATCCTTAAAAGTCTTCAGTTTGTGAATTTTATTGACAATTAACATGGGTTCATAAAATTGTCAGATACATCTAATTCTTTCTCTCATGCTCAACAGCGACGCCTTACTTTGAAACATCTGGTTTAAAAAAATTCTTCTCGTAAACTGATTTTAATGCATTTCGCTTATGCTCACTTGTTTTCTCTGTTTTTGTATAATTCTTACGAATATTCACATTCCCAAAACTAAAAAGATTTAGGAGCCTTTTTTGCCATATTGGTTGCATATTTGCTCGTGTATTTCTTTGTTCACCTTTTCTTGCAATTTCCATTAGTTTCTTTTTTCAACAATTTGTCCCGCCGTATCTAACATTCAGTTCTTTACTCAATTTGACATGACCAGATTCAGTTGAGCGGTTCCATATTTTGGCATTTGTCTTGTTTGTTTTAGCTCAAAATATCCTCGAAGCTGAGAGCCCTTGGTTTGAAAGTTTTCTCTTTGTAAGTAATAAGATCACAGTACAAATTAGATTGATTAAGTACAGGAGCAAAAAAAAAAGGACTTTAAATTAGTTTTATACTTGTGGCCTTATAATATTCCTTTTTCCTTTTTTATCTTTCAGAATGCGCTTGTTGTTTATGTATGTGAGGTGATGATTGATATAATAAAGCACTCGTTCATAGCTAAGTTCAATAACATAAAGCCCATTGCATTCTCCGAATTTCTAGAGGATCTCTGCAAACAGGTAAGTCAACAATATAGAGAATATCTATCACTAGTATAATACATTGATTGATCCTGTGGCACATTCTTATTTCTTGTTTACTTGGACAATTCCCTGTGAAATGCCAATAGTTCACCTATGATCTTGGATAATCGCTATTATAGCTTTTTTTCTAATTTATATTATTTGCCAGACACTGAATATGCAAACGGAGAATGGGAAGAAAAATCTCACTTTTGTTCCACTGGCACCAGCTTGTGTGGTAAGATTAACTTCTTGCAAATACTACTAGTTTCTTCTGAAGCTTCCAAACATGGCATTACTTACTTTTATGTGAACGGATCATTTGGGCTTTCGAGACGTATAAGCATCCAACACTGAGTTGTAATACACAATGTTTGGGGATATTTTAAAATACTATTAATAGCATATGATGGTTAAATTTTCTTTTTTCACTCACAAGAGATGCCCATTTGCCAAGTGATTCGAGTTCAAACTGCTGCTGTATGCAGGTAATTCGAGTTCTTCGTCCAGTTTATGCTGCTCATCTTCCGTATGGTCCCCTCGCATGGAGAATCTTTTGGATTTTTCTGTTATTTGTCATGACCTTGGTGATGCTTTCAAGTCTTAAGGTGATAATTGGCATGGTCCTTAAAAAACATGCCTTGTGGTATGTTAATAGATGCCAGAAAAGAAAGCTTCATAGTGACTGAGGAAGGAGGGCGTTACTGCACCAAAAATGTTTGTGGCCCGGCTGACCCCTACACTCTTCGTGCTTCGTCCGGTAGATCAGATTGCTCAAGCTTTGCTTCAATGGGGAATTTGCGAGTTTGCATCGTGGCTATTTTGTTACTACTATGCGCAAATTCCGGAGTTGATATGACAGAGAACCCCTTCAAAATGTGGTATATTAGCGTGCCAAATCATATTACAGTGGTGGCACATTTTTGCAGTTTGGTCAGAGGATTGAATAGTACTCAACTACATTTAAAAAAATAAAGTTGAAATCTTATTTATCATACTATCTAGTTCTATTTAATAGTTAGCATCGTGCACCAAACATGCATGTTATACAATAATTAGCTCATTCTTCCAATTTTGTATTAGAAGAACAAGGTCTCATGATAGTGATTAATGCATATGCAGAGAATGTTATATAAGTGACTGTAAAGCTCAAGAAATTTTGTAGTACTGCTTCATGTCACTATTCAATTGACATGTGTTTGTATGTTTGTGTTTCAATTTAGTGGGTGCTAATTATTTAATGTACGTGCCAATAAAAAAGTGACACTGAGTATTTAATACTATATATTTTGGGAGTATTTGAAATTTTTTTAGCTTAACTTTGATTGGCCTTTATATAAAGGCCTTGGAACAAGAAATTGCACACTCGATTACTAGTTTGCAAGTTGAGAATCACTCGTTAAAAAAAGGAGGGTCGAGAATTACTAAAAATGTTGAGTTATGTTACATGTACAAAGTTGTGTTACAAAGTTGATTGGCAAAATAACATTTACACCAATCAT